GTGAACGAAGGGGAAGGAGCAGAGGTGCTGTGAGACCAAAAGTAAGGTGTAAGGAGGTTCCTAACTAATCTAAAATATCTCTTTCCAACAGAGGGACCGGGCACAAAGGGATTATAAGGAAGGAATGAGTAGTAAAGGGCTAGTACACCTGGGGCAGGTAGGCTTGCCATCAACATCCATGACTGAGATTGAGGAAGGATTGGTTAGCCCTGATAATGAGGGCAGGTCAGAAAAGATCGCTTCTGTGTAAGAAGGAAATTTACTCACCCAATACCTTGAGCAATACCCCAGGCTCGGCGAGGGTGACGGGGGTCCAGTCAGGGTCTCCTCAGACTTCGGCCAATCCCAGCAGGGCCAACGGTGGGTCAGGAATTGGAAGGACTTCCAGTGTCCGCTTTGACCACATGCCTGGCAGGGTTTGGTTGGAGCTTTAGGCCTGGGGCACTTCTGTTGCCAGTGTCCTTTTCTACACTTGAAGCAGGCACCAGGTGGTGGTCGTTGTTCCCATACACCCTTGCCCCACGCTGCCCTTCTGGGACCTCAGGGGAATCACCAGCCACAGGGCTGCTACTACCTTCTGCCGGAACCAGGCATCACAGGCTGACTGCCTGCTCCTCATGGCTGTTAAAACCTAAAATGCCATATTCTCTAAATCTTGGACCAGGGTTTGCGGGCCTTTTTGTCCACCTTTTTTAAGCTATTAAGATAAAGCATCAGTTAAGCAGCTTAAAAAGGTGGCTGGATTCACGTCAGGCTTTTGAGTGATCTTAAGATGATCAAAATTGACTCCTATATGGGAAATGGCTCGAAGCCAAGTCAAGGAACCCTGAAGCATTTTATTATGGCAGGCACGTCTGTCCCTACCTGCTTGATTGTTAATCTGATAACTTCAACCAGGTTTTTGTCTGGGAATGCCTAGGTTTAGGGTCGGTCAAATGAACCTGGTTGGAGTGCTGCTGAACAGTGACAAAAATGCGTTCCCTTTTACCTGCAGTTAGGGTAGAGGAAAGGATGACAAAAATATCATGCCAGGACAAATCATAAGCTTGAGTTAAATACCAAAACTCCTTAATATAGGTGGTGGGATCATTATAAAGGAGCCTAAACGCTTTTTAATCTGAGATACATCAGTGAGAGAGAAGGGACCATGAACCGGACCACTCTCTCAGTCCCGGCCACTTCCCGGAGTGGACAAAGGAGAAGGGGTTCTGAGGTCGCATGTGCTTGCTAACAGGTGAGGTGAGTATAGACTTAGGTTCCTCCAGCGAGGCAGGTAGATTGGGAGACGAGGACGTGGGGGCTCCTGGTGGCCAGAATAGGGAGAGGGGTGAGTAGGAGGGGAGACAAGGTGTTCAGGCAGGTCGGAAAAGGCAAACACCAGAGGGGGGTCCAGAAGCAGGAGGAGAGGAGGAATTTTCTTTAGTCAAGAGGACTAGGGAAGGGGAGCAGGAAGTACAGAGAAAGGGACGGGAGCTCAGAGGAAAGGCGGCCTGGACAGACATACAGAATCTCAGACTATTTGTGAGTTTACTGGCAGAAATTGTTGAGATTTCAGAGGATATTGAAATCAAAAGTGCAGCAATTAAAGTTACTTCCCGGAGCTTTCTGACCTCTCTCTCCTGCCAGTCTCGGGGTGGCAACCATTGATTTGTGCTCTGCTTCCCTGTGTGGGAGAGGTGTGTCAGAGGCTGAGCAGGGAGGGAAGCAGAAGGGGAGAGAGAGACCCCAGAGTCTGAGGGGTCTGACTAGGAGAAGGGGTGGGCGTCCGTGGCACGGTGCCTCAGCCTTTGGGAGTTGAGGGGGTAGCGGAGGAGGTGATGGCGAGGGGCACCCAGAATATGGAGGGGGCCTTGCTGGGGGCGCAGATAAGGGGTCCAGAGAAAGACAGAAGGGGAGTACTGTCTGGGTCTGATTAAGAGTGTTTGGCTAAGAGATCCTGAGCAGGGTGACAGGTAGTAGAGAGGGATGGGAACGAAGAAAAAGACCTGAACATATAGGACTTCTGGTTATTTGTGAGTTTGTTGACAAAAATTGAAAGTGCTATTTTCTGGCTAGCAACTCATTGTCCAATTGGTATTGAGGCCAAACTTGGTTACAGAAAAAGACCAGGCATTTAGGGCGGAGATCAGGAGCCAAAACCAATTCAGTAAGGTTGGTAGTAGGCACCCCAAAGGACTGTCCGTAGGGGGCTGGGACAGAAGACTTCCCATTGTGTCTCAAACTGCAGGGGGTACGGACAGAAGAGAAGGGTGTCCCCTGGTCCCCATTCGCACCCTTCAGTCAGGAGATGGCCCGGTAACCCTGAGAGGCGTCCTGTCAGAGCTAGGGGCCCAGTGGGAGAGTCCTGAATTCTTTGGAACAGGAAGGCTCCCTGGCGCAGACCTGCGGCTTTAACGGGCAGACAGGGGCCTCGGATCAGAGAGACACAATGGAAGCCCGGGAGGGGAGGGGGCCTGGCTTTCTGGCCGGTAAAAATGGAGGTTAGTTAGGCCTCTGTTCAGGGTGAGAGGAAGGGGAAGCAGAACATTTTAGAGAAAGCACTGCGGGCCGCAGACGCAAAACACACAAACAGGTAGGAAAGACTCAGACTCACGTCTGGGTTCCAGTCCTGGCAGAAGGTGCAGTTTTGTTATCAGCAGGAATTTTGTTATCAGCAGGAATCCCAGGAGGTAAACAGAGGCAAAAGGCTGGAGGCCACCTGAGAGACCATAGACACAGAGAAAAGATGGACACGAGAAACTGACCTTCTCGTCGCACCCCTTTCAGGAAGGCAGCTCCTCTTGGTGTCAGGGTTGCTTTTCAGGGCGTTCAGCTAGTTAGCCTCCCGCGGACGCTATGTTCCCATACGAGTTTGCTGGTGTCCAGAGCAACAAGACAAATGAGACAGAACGAACATACAGGGAGAGATACTGACCAAATGTAAGGCAGAACTGAGGAACAGGGAGGAAGACAGACATAACTGGCAGGACAAGAGAGAGCAGAAACAGAAATAGCTTCATTAGGGTCAGGGCAGCTCCAGGACGAGGTTCCATAACCGAGGCTAACAGGTCAGGGAAGTCACACTCAGCAGCTGTGGGCGAGGGTTTTTAAAGGGGTGGTGAGGAATGTATGGCAATTATGTTGACCCTTTGAGGCTTTCTTTGAAGCCAGAACATCTGGTTTCACTGGTTATCTTATCTGGACCTTTGGGATGTGTAGGGCCAGGACCTGCTTCAGCTTAGTCCAAACAGCTCCGTAGTGACATTCCTGTGTCTTTCTTTTAAAGTGCTCAAAGTGATTCCCTTGAAAACATTAGGCAGGATGGTGGGTGATACACAGACCGTGTGTTCTCCCGCTCCATGGCGAAGGTCTGCACAGCTGTCGGGGTTCCGAGTCAACACATGCTCCTGGTGACACTGGGCGCCCCCACACATTCTCTCGGTTTCCCTGACACACACACACCCCCCCCGCCCCCGATATTTCCCTTTTGTTGTCTCAAAGTTAATTCCTAAAAAACACCGTTGATACTTTTTTACAAAGAAGCCTAATCCTGACAGGTGATGTCCCTGCACTCCCAGCTGACCTCTGGGGTCAGCTCCTATTCGGCATCTCAAGAGTGTCTCAGGAGACTCCAGTCTCAGCCCCGGTGTGTCTAAAGTGAGTTGAGGTGCTTTCCCACATTTTTCTCCTATCAAGGCCCCTTTCTGGTAGCCCTGATTAGAATGATAAGCAGTGGTACCTCTCGTTCGGCTGTCCGCGTCCATGAGGCCGTGGTTCGTGCAGACGAGTCGTCCTGCAGATTCTTCTTTCCTTTATGGTCTGGATGAAGGGAGACCAAGGCCAAGGCCGCTTTCCCAATTCCCAGCACTACGCACCTGATAAGAATGGAGAATCTGACTCAATGAACCATGCATTGTACCAGCTGACCAAGACGTCCCATAAGATTACCACCCTAATCCTTCAAACCCAGAAATCCAATCCTGAAGGGCATTCGGCTAAGTCAGTCATATCCAAAACTGTGACCACTAGGGCTACCTTATATAATGTCACAATGATAAACACGTGATAATAGTATGGATCTATAGTCACAGAGAAGCATATACACCCACACATCAGCAATTCCCACAGGCCCCTTCGCATGGCCTCCATGAGTCGGTCTCCTCTTGACCTCTGTTGGGTGTTACTCAGGTGGGTCATGGGCTTTGAGGGGGCCTTATCGTATAGCCTTATTATCTGTTCTAAGAGTCATGATTCTCGAGAGCAGTGGTTCTCAACCTGTGGGTCTCGACCCTTTCACAGGGGTCACCCAATTCATAGCAGTAGCAAAATGACAGTGACGAAGTAGCAATGAAAATAGTGTTATGGTTGGGGGGTCCCCACCCCATGGGGAACTGTATGAAGGGTTGCGGCCTGAGGAAGGTGGAGAACCGCTGCTCTCGCGTTTTAGAAGGGATTGGACAGCACGGCCTTTCAAGATACTCTGTGAAGAGTCCAGGGGAAAGGCTGCTAGCCCGGCGGGAAGGATCTCAGGACAGAACGCGCACTGGCCTGGGTTCAAATCCCAGCTCGGCCACTTGCGCTACAAGCAAGTCAGCTCCACTTCCTGAGCCTTTAAAAGAGGCGCAAAGTCACCCCCGAGCCCCTGAGTCTCAAACCCAGGGTACCTTTGTACTCGATTCCCACAGCCATCTTACTAAGAATTCTCCAGGGAGGTTCGGTTTTTCATCCCAAACCGCCTCCTTTGCCAATGGGATTGTGTTTTTCAAAAAGGAAAAAGCATCCTCGGAGCCGGCCCCAATTAGAAGCTGAGCTAACCCGACTTCGACTTCGTTAGAAAAACTGCAGCCAGAGCGTTTGAATTCAATTGAACGGGAAGCAATCACTCCCGACGCTCGGAGGTGTGCTGGAGGGGATATCAGCTATGTAGCTCATCACAGTGGACCCCGGCAAATACAAATCCCATCACCAGCTGCTGTGTGCCCGCCCGGCTCCGGGGAAGCTCCAGCAGAGCGGTGGATACCATGTGCTGGGAGCTTGGGGTCGGGTGTGGTGGGGAGGCTACGTTGCCGACTAATTATTTAAGGAATGATATATTTACCAAGGCCAGCCATTTGCTTCTTCAATAATCTATTAAGCAGTACTTAACCTCGCTGGCTGTTTTAAATAATCAATTGGCGTTGAGGTAACGGAGAGCGGCTGTCTCATTAGGTCATATTAAGTCCTTATTTGAGGCACTTCATCTGAAGTGTGACAGGATCATTCGCCCGGAGGCAGTGAGCTGCTCGCTGGGGAGCCCAGGGTCCCTCACACCTGACTTTTCCCCACCCAGTGCCTCCCCAGACCGAGACCTGACGCCGCCGCCGCCATCCTCCAGGGGGAAAAAGAAGAAGAAGAAATCCACCCGGAAGAAGAGGAAGAGGTGAGGACCCCCCTAGAGTGGAGGAAGGCAAAAGGGGGCTGGTTCCAATCCCGCGCTGTGTGGCCCGGGCAAGGCCCTCTCGTCCTGGTGCTTGTCTCTGCCGGTATGAGGTGGAGGGGTACCCACCTCTTGGGGCCCCGTGGAATCCGAGAGGAAAGTGGATCTGGAAGCCACCTGCTGTCACAGTGTGTGGCACCAAGTCAGTGGTGCGACCGGGAAACGGCTCCCGCTGTGCCAGATTCCCAGGCTTGGGGGCCGGGCTGCCACCCTCGTTCCCACACCTGCCCATGGTCTTCCAGAGCCCGGGTCCTGCTCCCCAGCCTGCTGCTGCTCGGAGGTGGCAGGGAGGTGACCTCCCACTCAAGATCCCCATGGGACAGAGCCCTGGTGGCGCAGTGGCTATCCACTGCACAGTGGGGACGGCAAAGTCGCCTGCTTCCCTAGAGGAAGACCGGCCTCAGGACTCCCTTCCACAGGGGCAGTTCTACGCTGCCCTGTGGGGGTCGCTGTGGCTTGGAATGGGCCTGCTGGCAGGGACTCGGGTTTTCTGAGCTGCCGTCATCATAGCAGCCATAAAGATGGCCGGGTCTTTCTGCAGCTGCGCAGCCAGGCACTTAGCTGTTGCCCTCCCTTGTGCCCACGTTAGAGATGAGAAAGGCTCAGGGTGGTCAGGGCACCTCCAGGGCCGCACCCCAGTCTTCACACTTGACCCCTCTGTACCCACCCACCAGGCGAGATGCCCAGGACGTTGGACTTGTGTTGCCAACTATCGTCTTTCATTGGAATTTTGGAAACACTTCTGATTGCCCCCAAGCTTCCACCAAGGCACTGAAAAGCACCGCAGACCGGCAGGCTGTGCTGTCACCGATGGGCAGGTTTAGACTCAGGCCAACCTTGTTTCGGAGGCAGCGTGAACAACAGACAGCTGCAGGGGGCAGCAGAGAGCAGTTTCTGGATGACAGCCTCCCTGCCCACCCCAGGGTTTCTGGGACCTCCTGCCCCTGGCACCAGGGAGCCCTGGTGGGGATGGGTGAGTGTTGAAACCCACCAGAAAGATGAGGCAGCCTGTCTCCGTAGAGACTGGGACCTTGACACCACCAGCCCCTGCAGCAGTCCGACTCTGTCTGGCCAGCTGGTTAGGAGTTGAGGTCTGGCCATCGTGACCCCTGCCTGTGCTCACCACCACCTGCCAGAGGGGTCTGAGTGGGGATGCAAAGGCAAGCAGAACCAGCAGGGAACAGAGTCAGCAGACTCAGAGACCTCAATGTAAACCCCAGCTCACCTGTTGCCTTAGCCATGTGACGTTGGGCATGTCACTTCCCCTCTGTCCCTGTCATTAAAAAGTATGCTGTTGTTCCTCCCTAAGAAGTGGGAGGATTAGAGCATTCAAGTGCATGTAGAACAGAAGCAGACAGATAGATAGGTGCCTCTGCCTATCACATGGACATAGCAGGGAATATGATAGCTAGGCACCTGTGTCTACGGTGACCTCTGTACAATGCTGCCTGTCTCACCAAGCGTCTTCCACCGCTGAACCTCTCCTCCCCGCAAAACACAGTGCCCCTCTGCTAATGCTCCCCAAGAAAGGGAGCCTGGCAATGCTGTTGTGATCCGTAGGGTTTGGGGTGGCTTATTTTAGACAGAAGATCAGCAGGCCTTTCTTCTGAGCCTGTCTTGGAGCCCTCTGCAGGAATCTGAAATACTGGTGGTGCGGTTTCCAGGATCACGCCAACCACCATAGCAGGGCAGGCTGACAGATGGGTGGTGGTGTCCAAACACTTGCATTGCTGGACAACGGTCCCTTTGAGAGCCTTCCTCTGAAGCCTGTCTCCCACCCTGGCAGGTCCCCATCATACAGCCCTTCGCCAGTCAAGAAAAAGAAGAAGAAAAGTTCCAAGAAGCATAAGCGACACAGGTACTGTCCTCCAGCCTCTCTGAGCGGGGCCAGCAGGTCCCTGGACGCACGTCCTTGCATGTGTGGAACATGCGTCATCTATCGATTGTCCCTTATGTGCTTGTTGTCTAAGGACAGACTGGCTGCAAGGGCCAGAGGCTCCCTGAGTTACCATCCAGTCACCAGGAGACCCAGGCCACACCCTGCTGCAGGTCCAGCAGCCAAGAGAAGGCTATCTCTCTCCCTCATTCATTCTTTCAAACTCCCAGGAATGGGACTCAAAGCCTGAGCACTGTGATGGTCCATGCTTGTGGGGACCGTAGGTAAAGGTTATCATGCACTGACCAGCCCTCTACTGGAGGATGCTGCGGCAGGCAGGAAACTCCTGTTTCCTATTCCGAGGGGCTCATGAAAGGACATGAACCCTCAGGGAGGAGGTGGCCTGGTGACCTTGAGGGACCTTGAGCACAAGTCCAAGCTTCAAACTCACTCGGCTTTCTTTCCTTCCTCCCCTGCCTCCAGGTCATTCTCCAAGAAGAGAAGGCACAGGTAAGAATCGGCTCTGCTGCCCCAACCAAGCTTGGGGACACTCCCACCGTCCTTGGGCATAGCCTGTCCTCTCCCTGGGCCTCAGCTTCCCTGAGAGTTCCAAGCCAGCTTTCACGTGCCAGGAGGCCAACCCCCTGGGCTTGGGAACCCACGGTAGAGAAGGAAGACTAACCCCATACTCCGCCTGAGCCCTCCCAGGACCTCCATCAGGACAGGGGCCTTAGTGGCTCATGACAGAGGGCCCCTGGGTGAATGGAATGGGCCTCAAGCTGGCCATGGGCCCTACTCCTAGCAAAGTCTCCAGGCAGGCATTGGTCTTGGCCTGAGCCCACCCAGGCTGGGGGTCGCCCCCGCCCTCCGTGCATGCCCACAAGTGTGCAGATAGTCGGGGTCCATCCCCAAGCCGTTCGGATGTGGCCTGCAGCCTGTGCCTGACTTGTTTCGTGTGATTTGTGACTGCCATTTAGCATCTTCGGATTGATTGGCCCTTTTCTTATTTAGCTCCTGTAGCCCCAAAAGCAAAAGGAAGGAAGAGAAGAAGCACAAAAAACAGTAAGTCAATAGCACTCAAAATGCATTGTGTGGCCTGGGGAAGGGGGTGAGGAGACACCTGCCAGAGGACTGGGGACCCCAGGGGGAAGGGAGGGAGAAGACGGAAGCGCACATCCTTGTGGCAGCTGTAGGCTTAGGTCTGCATGACTGAACCTGGTCTTGGGTCTTGTGTTAGTCTGGGTACTTTAGAGAAACAAATCTACAGAAACTCATGTATAGGAGAGAGTTTTATATAAAGTACACATCAAGAAAACATCCCAACCTAGTGCTGCCTAAGCCCACAAGTCCATATGTCCGACACCAATCCATAAAGTCCTCCTCCATCTCACAAAACACAAGCAATGACGCCGACTACAGGGGGAAAGCCGAATCAGTGAACGTGTAAGCAGCTCAGCGCTGGCAGGGGTCTCCACCAGGCTGCTCCAGCACCCAGGACTACACTGGGGTAGGTCCATACGGCTTCTCCTTGGGGATGTCTTACAGGAAGTGAGCCTAGGCAGCTGCAGCCTGGTCTGACCATCAGAGAGCAAGAGACCTGAGAACTAGAAAGGCGAGGCTCATCGCCTTTTATCTCTCCACCCTTCTACTAACCCCACATGTGTTCATCGGCTAGGTTGGCAAATAAACCGTAACTATCTCAGGTCTGTACACATGCATCACCTGCGGAGACTCACATGGGGTTTGTCAATACCTACATGCCTTCCAGTCTCACAAGGTGAAGCGCTGGCATGGTGAGGTCTCTCACCCTCCCCTGGAGAGAGCTGGCATTCTTCAGGGGCTAGGGCGGTGCACTCCCTTTTGTTCCCCGAAGATCAGGGGGAAGAAGCCTGAAGGGGCCAGTAGGAGGGGTGGGTTAAGGTCGCCTCACAAAATGAGGAAGAATCGATGTGCCTGCACTGTGGTGCTGGGGAAGAGAACAAATCCGCGATGGCAGAAGTCTGGCCACAGCGCTCCTTCGAGGCAAGAAGGGCGAGACTTTGTCTCACCTATGCCAGACGTGTTGTTGGGAGAGAGACCAGTCCCCAGGGAAGGACGCCATGCTTGCTAAAGTGAGGGGCAGTGACCAAGAGGAAGGCCCTGGAGGAGGTAGACTGTGACAGGCACTGCGGCTGCAGTAGGGTCAGACGGGGAACGCTCCTGAGGATGGCCCGGGACGGAGCAGCGTTTCATTCCATCACACGTGGTCAAGATGGGTCGGCACCAACTCCGTGACACCTAACAACAACACAATGCCCACAGAACAGCCCTGGCTGCCCTCGACAGCAGCTAGATTCTCAGCCTGTGGGTCACGACCCCTTTGGGGGTCGAACGGCCCTTTCACAGGGGTCGGCCGAGTCATCACAGTAGCAAAATGACAGTGAAGAAGTAGCAACAAAAATAATGTTATGGCGGGGGTCACCGCATGAGGAACTGTGTGAAGGGGTCGCGGCCTGAGGAAGGTGGAGAACCGCTGTTACAGAGCATGAGCAGGTGTTTGTCACCAGGGAAAAAAACTCCTCGGCGCCACTTTCCCCACTTTTTCTCACCACTGCAAGTTTCCATCTCCTTGAAACTTCCAAGTCCTCATGATCTCTCAAACTGGCCGGCTGTCCTGAATGCAACTGACCGCTCAGCGGACCCGTTTGACCGGGCCTTGTTTGCGAAAGACGTGGCAAGGAGACGGAGAACAGGGGGGGGTCCTGTGTGCGCACTGGATCCACAGTGGGGTGGCAGCACCGCTGCGCCTCTCCCCGTCCTCGGGAGCCCCCCACCGTTTCATAGTTTATAGCTGGTAGTAGAAATTCAAACCAGCTAGCGCTGCCTGTGGAGTTCAGTTCCCAGGCAAATTAAAAGTAAATTCGGTTACAACCCATCTCCTTTATTGTCCTGCAAACATGTCAGCGCTGGTGTTTTCCAATCAGCTAATATTTTATCTCCAGCCAAGAAGCTTCTAAAAGTGCAGATCAAAGGCAAGGGGAGGCAGAAGCTTCTGGGGAGGAAAGGAGGCGCCCAGCTGGGCTGCCCAGGGGGTCTCTGCACCCACATCAATGTGAAGGAGGACATGGAGGTGGGCACCACCAGGCATGCTCTAGAGGGCAGCTGAGGCACCTGTCTAGTTCCAGAGACACCCACTGGCCCTCCTCTCAGCAGGCGCCTGGCGTCCAGGGTAGGGGTGCCGTGTGACACAGGGGGGGGGGGGATATCCCACAGCCTCTAAGCTGGTTGGCAGCATAGCACCAGGTTTTCCTCCCCCAGAGATGCTTGGGGTGGGGGTGCGGGTGTCCTACAAACCACTGACCTTTTTGTTCCGAGCTGAATGTTTAAGCCCTGAGCCACAAGGGTATGGTCTGATACAATTGGCTGGGCTTCTCAGGCTCCTGCCTCCTGATAGAGCCAGCTGTAACTGTCAAGGGTTCTCTGACTTGGCCCAAACCCCTTGCCACTCCCTGGCTGGTGGTGTTAGAGGGACATCCTCAGTCCCCACTGCCTGGAGACCACGGTCTTGTTCACAGCAGAGATTGCTCTGTGTGTGTGATTCTTACTGTGGAGAAAGTGTGTGGCCCTGTGAACCAGTTTTGACACTGTGCTAAGACACTTGACTCCCAATTGCCAGTCTGAGGTTACAAATTGGTGGTCCAAAGCCTAATTGACTCTGCAAATGGGTTTGATTTGCCTCAAACTCTGTGTTCCCCGCTCCCCATGAGTTTCCATGTGAGATGGGAGGATGTTACATCAAAACCTATGTTTCCACCTTCCTGTGAACAGTCACCAGAGGCAGCGAGGTAGGGAGGGTCATGCCAGGCTGGGAAGGCAGGAAGCCGGGTGACAGGGGAGGTCCTTAGACTTTGGAGGGAGGGTGACTTGTATGTGAGAGGGACATGGGCACCCGTGGAGCCAGATCTCTCGCTTCCTCTCCCCTCGCCCAAGATCTCGAGGCCGTCCCCGAAAGTCTCACCGCCACCGTCACCGCCGCTGCCACTCGCGGTCGCAGAGCTCGGAGTCCCGGTCCTCGAGCTGCGAGAGCAGGTAAGCCCTGCCTCCCCACGCCCTCCCCCAGCCACGCTCAAGCAGTCGATGCCAGCGCATGGTGGCACGGTCGAACAGCTTCCCCGGGGCTTCCAGACGAAGCCTTGAATGAGCAGCCCAGCATTTAACCCACCGTGCCGCCAGTACTCTGCGGGTCCAAAATGACGACGCCACATGCTCTGTCCTCGGTGCCAAGTGGCAGTGCACCAGCCCGCACCCCTCCCGCAGCAAGCCCGTGATGCACCACATTACCCCCTCACCAGCCAGGTCAATCTCTGGAAACTCCTCCAGACCCTGTCACCTCCTCTCAGTCGCGCTGTGGATCCTCCCGGGCAGTCAACGAGCGCGTCCAACCCCAGAGAGCGGACATGCTCAACTCAACAGTGTCACAGCCCAGGCAACAAATGAGGGACTGGGCACTGTACTCTGCTGCCCCCCCCCCCCCAGTGCCCACTGGGTTACCAGGTACTCCATAGGCACAGGACCAAGGTGAGAACCGGCCCTGGGACCACCCAGCCGAGAGGTGACATGGAAGACTCGGGAGAAGAAGAACACCCCAGAGAAGCAAGAGTCAGAAGACTGTCCTGAGCCAGGCTCTGCCACTTATAAGCTGGGTGACCTCAGGCAGGTCCCACAACACCTCTGAGCCTAGATCCCTCATGTGTGAAACTGGACAGTAGCTGAAGGCCTCTAGCCAGACAAGGCAGGGAAGACACCGTAGGTGGAGGTGGCAGGGGGAAGGGGCTCTACAAACCCATCGGGTGGGTGGTTCCTTCTTTCTGGGATTCAGGGAGTGCCCTCTCAAAGAGTCAGGTGTTGACGGAGGTGAGGAAACCAGATCCAACCCTGAGCTGGGGAGCCAGCCCAGTTAGGACCAGCATCTGCCCTGCTCAGGTTAGGGGCTGCCGCTGTTTCTCAGGGGTGTCAAGTACACATCGACAAGGGTGCTTCAGATAGTTGGTGGAACAAGAGAATGAGTGGCATTTTCCCACCAATACTTTGAAGCCCACCGGCCATACAGAGGGACTCAGCCAGACAAATCACACTCCCTGCCGTCCAGCCCATTCTGATGCATGGCAAGCCGATGGCACTGAGTAGAAGCGCCCCTGCGGGTTCCCAAGACTGCCAGTCTTTCCAGGAGTAGAAAACGTCATCATCTTGCTGCATGGTGACATGTTTTCGAACTGCTGACCTTGCAGTTAGCAGCCTGATACCATCTACAGAGCCTGTTTGTCCCCGAACCCCTTCCCCGCTCTCAGGGCTCTCTCCTGCCCCTAGGCACCGAGGCCAGTCCCCAGAGGAAGGGCGCAAGTCCCGCAGGAGGCGCGTCCGACGCTGTCCCAAGACCCTCTGCAAGGCCAGCCCAGACACCCGGTCCAGCCACCCAGCCGGCCAGCCCCTCCAGATGCTCAGCCTGTCATCCAGGGGTGTAGTAAGTATTCTGCCCAGCCTCCTCTGCCCGCCCTGGCCGCGGATCTGGGGGAGGGGGGTGGAGACACAGATGCCAGTTGAGGGCAGGGGGTGATGCATTCCCGTGCAGTTGCTGGAGAATTGCCCACTGGCTTCAGACCTCATTCTGGATGAGCTGCCCAGTCATTGAGCTGCCTATGGCAGCACTTGGCTTAAGGACTTAGAGACACGTGAGAGCACCTGGGATTCTATCAGGCGACTACCAATCAAACACGAACGTTTGCCAGAGTCATGTCACAGGGGACCTGTTGGAGACGCCATGAGAGGCTTCTTTGGGGTGGAGAAAAAAAAAAGACACTAGCTTTTAACAGAAAGCTGCAGCTTTTAGGTCAGCTGGCTACCAGCTGGGATTTGATTTTGCCCCTGACCTCAACTGTGAATTCAGGTGAAGGTTTCCCACCAAGGAGCACCAAGGGTTTTCCACTGGACCTGTGCATTCTGGGGTGTCCACGAAAGGTCTGGGGAGTAGAGGGCGTAACTGGTTTCAGCTGTCCCTTCCACAGACAGCACAGAAAAGCCAAGGCCCAGAACATGGTAGTCTGATGTAGCAACTTAGCAGGGAAGAGAATGCTTCCCCAGGTCCAAAGGAAGGGGACTGAGAATTGGACTCTATTCCCTGGTTGTGTGATGGGACCCCATGTGATTTCACATTCCCTGGCTGTGTGTTCTCTAGGCAAGTGGCCTGGCCTCTTTGAACCTTCATTTTTTTCACTGGTAAAATGGGAGTAACACCATTCCCCTATGGGGCTTGGGAGGAAAGAAAATAAGACAGAGAGTGTGAGGCCTTGTGTAGTATCTAAAAGGACAGACCAACAGAGGTGAGTCACTGCTGACCTCAGGAGGAGTTGTGGATACCTGTAAGGGTGTAGCCTCTAGTGAATTTGGAATCATCCGGAAACTGCTCCTTACAAAAGATAAGATACAAGCAAGACATTCTCAGAGGCGCTGGCTTGGAGATCTATAAAGAACTGACTCAATGGTCACTACCTGCAGTACATTCAAGGGAACACTGCTCAATCATTTAAGCATACCCGTATCGCCAAGATCTGATTTTGCCCAAGTCCTCTGCCTAGCTGATACCATCCACCACCATTCCCAGACCTCTCCTTTGTAAAAATTCCTGGGAGTCCTGAGAGTTTGTAGACAGTCAACGCGCAATGCGTTCTCCCTGACAGAATGTCCTATGAAGAGGTATTCCAAGAATGACACGGAGGCTGGAAGCCTAGAGTCTTGGCTGGACACAAAAATATTCCAGCCTCATATGGAAAATGAATACATTTAGTACATCTGTTCCCTAAGGGGACTGTTGCGAAAGTGAAAATGAACAAAATAAAAGGTAGAAGAACTTTTTTTGGTTTGTTTGGTTTAGTTAGTAGAGGCCGTGGGGATATTTGTGGCAGCCCATTTGGTGTCCACAGCTAAACATCGCTAAGAATTACCATTGGGGGCAACTGGTTTATACTTTTCCCTGTGTCTGGAATAATTTCCTAAGGAGGCCCTATGGGTCAAGCTGTTACACAAACTGGCCACAAAATAGACTTTCCTGACACACACATGTTCTTGATATCTTTGGTGTGACATTTCTCAATGTCTCCCATGGCCCTGGCTCCCACTAGAAGAGGTAACAAGGCAGGGGGGTATCCATACCTAGAAAGGGGTGGCCTCAAAAGCTCACCACCTTGATGATCAATATGAGACTCAGAGAAAATAGTTATCTAACTGGGAGACTCACCGAAGAGCAATGACTTGTAAGGTAGAATGGCAGTCAAAGACGGACCCCAAGCTCAGAACAAAGATTTCAGAACCATGGTTTCCTGACATAAACACTAAGTAGTATTGGCTTGGCTTTTATCAGTATGGGACCTTTAGCAAATTATAGAAACTTCAAATTTCATAAAATAGGTAGAATAGCAGGACCTATTTTATAAGATCATCATAAGGACTCGGACTTCATGTAAGTCCACATTTTAGGCTGTAATGACTAGTAAAATGCTGCCTAAACATTGCTGCCACCAGCAGAGCTAATAGTGAGACTGATGTTATTGTGAGCTGCCTTCAAGTTTGTCCCTGACTCACAGCAACCCCAGACTGGACCATTGTGTCCATAAGGTCTCACTGACTGATTTTTCAGCAGTAGGTGTCCAGGCCTTTCTTCCTAGGCCATCATAGTCTGGAAGGCCCACAGAAACTTATTGAACATCATAGCAACACCCAAATCTCCACTAACAGATGACTGATAACTACACATGACTTGCACTCATGGAGAATCAAATGGAAATGTTCCAGATGGAAGAAGTAAACCACTGAACCATTGGGGGAGAGGGGGAGCGGTTGGAAGCAGCAGTGGTAATAGTGCCAAGAGTAGTAATGACAACATAGTTCCAGGCCACAGCAAAGTTGATGGCTGAACTAGAGCCAGGGGCCCTCTTTCCCAGATCCATTTATCTCCACTCTGAAAGATGGTTGCCACCAAATGGCTGTCTGCACCCTATTCATGGTTATCTGCCCTCAAATCCAGTCCTCTTTGAGAACAGGCCGAGCTCTTCTCTCTTGCAAAGGCAAAGATGGAAGAAGGTGCCAGGTTGGAGCTGAAGACAAAGATTTCCCAAGTGTTGGGTTTCTGAGTCACTCCTGGGACCTCACAGTTTTTCCAAGCTCCTTGTTAAAGATAAGAGTGAAATCATGTTTAGTGAAATATTCACTTGGTCACTGATTACAATATACCAATATTGGTTGAGCATCTCTAAAGAGCTCTGACTTGGCTCTCAGGACCTGGGGAATCAGAAAGAGCAAATGAACAGCTGAGGTGGGTGGAAGGTAACTGGTGGGGGGTGGGGGAAGGACAAAGAAGGTGACAGTTGAAACTGTAAGGATTAGCAGAGAGGGAGAATTGAAGGGTTGGGGAGAGACTGAGAACACAGGCCTCTCAGAGGACCAATCTGGCGCGGGCAGGAGACTCAGCTTGAAGGGTCTTCCGTGCCATGCTCCTGCCACACTGCACTGCAGGCATTTCATATGCACAGCAAAAATCAATGATAGGTACAATACATCAAAGGGTGAATCTGAATATATGAATATGCACATTTGGGGTTATATCTGACTGAAATCCTCATTTCTGAGTTAAAGGTAACCAGAGGTCCTCATGCTCCTGAATCTAACGGGAGGGTCATCAGGCATCAGGTTAGTAGGTAGGCTTCTCAAGCCCACTCATATCCCTCATTTGTCCCCACCCCACCTCACTGGGTCCGGGGGTGGTGGTGGTGAGGTGTTGTCCAGAGAACTGGAGAAAACACCCGTCCTGACTTCTAGCAGCTGCCAGCCCAGTCATCAACAGCACGGCACACTGCTATGTGACAAGCGGTGTCCTTGAGGCTGGAAATGACGGGGTAACCAGCAGTGCCTATTACAGTTATTAAAATATGCACAAACTTGGCCATTACTTGATGTTTAGAAAAAACAAAAAAGAACCTCAGACAGCCAGCCTGGGGCTCCCTGGACCTTTTTATAGTCTAGCAACTAAAGGGTAACACCGAGCACCCTTCCGGCACCAAGTTCAGCTGCCCTTCTGGTGGAGCAATCGCCATACCAAGCCAGTTGTTGAATATTACATGTCACCGCTGGCAGTACTACACGCAGGCACACTGAGGTGTGGGAGCGCAGGGAAGGAGCCAGATAGTCTTAGAGCACCTGAGCTGCACTTTGAAGCATGAGTAGGCGTTCACCAGCTCAAGACAGCCGATGGAGAGAGAGGGCGGGAGGAATGCCCCGTGCCCAGGGCTGACACGCACTTGAGAGTGTCATGGGATTGTCTTCTAGTTAGGTCCCCAAAAGAGATCTTGGAGGTGAGTGTGATCTATCTCGACACCATTTTGCAGCTGGGAAAACAGAGGCCCAGAGAGGCGATGGGTGAAGGTTTCCCAACTAAGAAAGGAACGGATGGGAAGCTCAGTCTGACAGGGCATGGAAGGGAGAGGCTGGAGCCCTGAGTTTGGCCAAGACCTCCCCGCAAGGTGCTCTCAAGTTCACCCTGACCAGGGAGGGGCTCGTCAGGGCAGGCTCGTCCCCTGCCTCTTGCCCAGTCAGATTGCCTGAGAGAGGCCTGGCTCTCGGTCCCCTCCCACGCTTCACCTGTCACACCTTCTCTGTCCTGTGTCCCCTGGTTACCTTCCACCCACCTCAGCATCGATGGCTGCTCATTTGTTCCCTCCCCTGCTTGAAGGCAAGGGCTCTCTGACCAGGTCCTGAGAGCCGAGTCAGAACCAGTTATAGCCCTTCAAGGGAGCTTGTGTGACATCCCCCCCCCCACAATTTTACAATGAGGACCCAACAGCCCCTAAATTAAAAGCTGTTAAAACGAACAGGATCCGAACGCTGCAAAGCTGACCTCGGAGTCCATGTGCCCAATGAGATGGCCTCCCTCATACTCTTGGCCTCTGTGTCCTCGTGTCCTTTGTACTTGTGCTTTGGGCTTCTGATCACACTGACCTCACAGGTGGTGGTGAGGAGGAAATGCGATGGGGCCTCCATCCGTCCCTGCAGCAGGGAACCACCTCGGGGAGTTCCTGCCCTCTGGGAGCTTCTGCCTTGTGGGAAGAACCTAGCCTACCGCCCTGGTACCTGGTACCGAATACACGGCAGTTGCTAGTGTTACTGTCATCCTGGTGGCTTTACTGAACTTCTGGCAGGCCTGATGATTTGAGAGTAACTCTGACCTCAAAAAGCTTCAGCGTTCCTGGCTCTCAGGTGAGCTCCATAACCCCAGGGAGCAGGCAGGTGGCTCACACCTCCCACTTTGTAGAGAAGGGACATAAGGCTGCGATAGCCCAGTGACCAACAAGAGTACTGAGGCCATGGGTTTCTGACCTCTGACCTGTCTTCTAGCATATTCGGCAAAAACCTCTGAGCTCTGTTACTCAGCAGGCAGGTGCCACCCCCATTCACAGCCGTTTAGATGACAAAGGG